CCAAAACATTTTTGGATTTCGTTCTTCGTTTGTTTATTGTAATCTTGGAACATCAAGAAATGGTGACTTTCTTATACCGAAGCTATGTTTCGGTTGTCCGGCTACTCCGCGAGAAAGTCGAATCGATGCTTGAATCAATTGGTAGCGACTCCGAACATTCCCCTAATCAGACAATGCGCAAAGCGACGCTCTTAGTTACATAAGACAGTTAAGGAAAGGTCGAACGAACTCTCGCATCAACAAGCTTCATATTTTCGTAGTCTTGGAGCTAGATTATGTTGGAGAAATAGTGACTTCTTATACCAAAGCTATGTCTCAGTTGTCTTCTACCAAAGCTATGTCTCTGTTGTCCGGCTACTCGGCGGGAAAGCTGAACCGATGCTCAAATAAAAAGGTAGCGACTCCGAACATTCCCCTAATAGGATGACAGGCAAAGCATGTCGACGCGTTCTTAGTTACATAAGACTGTAAAGGAAAGGTCGAATGAACTCGCGCGTCCACAAGCCTAGGATAGACAGGAAATATTTTAGCGGTGTCATCCCCGCCAATTTCGCTAGATGTTCTTGGGATAATTTCGGACACACGAATTCCTCCATTGCACGACGAAGAGACGCGGTTGGAAGAAAGAGATTTGCTCGAGAAAGCAACTACAATACAAGGAAAAGAGGAGAACGAGCATAGAGTCTTTGGATGCTTTTTCTTTATCTATTTTCTCAGTTTGTCCCTTCTTTCCGCCTTTTCTACTTTCACTTTACTAGTTAAAATTCATGACCCACGTAAAAAGAAAGCCCAAGCTACAAGGCAAATTTTCGAAGAAAGCCCCCGAAATGGTTCCGTTTTCACAAAAAAACTACCAGAGTGGTGCTCATCGAAAACCCTAAAATTGGCGACTTCGTCTCAATTCACCCCCATCTCACTAGCAGCTCAAATCTTTACCGGCCGACGAGCGCGTGTGTCTCGCGTGCCGTCTTAAGCGCCTTGGCTAGGGGCATTTCGAAATTTTCGCCGTGTGGGTGGGCTCTTTTGAAAATTTTCCCCTCCTCCTACAATTGTAAAAAAAAGAAAAGGTGAAGTCTCTTCCGCAAATCACGCAATGAACTCCCACCGAATCCGAGAAAGAAAGCTGGAAAAGAACAAAGGAGAAAAACAAAAGAGGAAGAGGAGGAGGAGGAGGAGGAGGAGGAGGGGGTCAAAGAAACGAGGGACAAAGCTTTTTGGTTCAACCGTCCAACGCAAGAGTTTGACAAAAAAGACTTTGCGCCATCTGAAATCCAACTGCTCCTTTATTATTATTATTATTATTATTATTATTATCATCATCATTATCATTGTCATTATTATTTAATTTGTTTATAACCTAATAAAGTACCACTATATTTTTGGCAAGCTTGTGCTTCCTAGGGTATACTATGTTGCCCTAGGTGCATGGACTATATATATATATATATATATAAAGGGATTGAGCACAATTTTAATCAATATATACCTAACGACTGAAGCTACTCTCGATGTGAACTCCATATTATCCACTGCCAATTTCCATCTTCCAAATTGAATATATATAAAGGGATTGAGCACAATTTCAATCAATATATACCTAACGACTGAAGCTACTCTCGATGTGGACTCCATATTATCCACCGCCAATTTCCATCTTCCAAATTGAATGCCAAAGCTAAGGAGTAAATGCCATTGCTCTACTTTATGGGCAACAAACTATTGTGGGTGTGGGGTTGTTCCCCCCACTATCAATCGATTTTCAACTCTTCTTTTGAGGTTTTTTCGTTGGATGTTTGATTTTATTTGTCTTTTGGCCACCATGTTCGTGGATTGGCAGAGCAAAACCAATTTTTTAGTGTTAAAGGAAATTAACCCAAGTCAACAGATTGAGGAAGATCGTGTGTATATAAAAAGCATGAATCCTGTAGACGGGCTCTTGTGCAAATTGGATGAACAAGGGAATGCAAAAAATTGACAAATTGAGGCTGCACGGGCCAAAGAAACTTGGGCAGAACGTGGCTCCGATACGGAGTCACGATGTCCTACCCCAAAAGCTAAGTTTACAGGCCGATGGGGAGCACATTTATGTAAAGAGCATATAAAATCCATAAACAAATAATACGGGATGCTTTAACAATATCTAATCAATTCATCCAATGAAACTCATGTTGTGTTGAACATATAGCTAAAACCCTTTTTAGTCCTTGGTCTTCTTCCTCCAGCAAAGGGGCATTCAATTAGAAAGTATAAGTGGCCGATGAATTTGGTATTTATAGGCCAACTCAGACTGTAACCTTTTACCTAACCTCATTGAATTTTGGAGGGTCCGATTTCAAGCACTTGATTTTTTTTTTTTTGGTTCAAAATTTCAAGCACTTGATTAACTCCCTCAAAATTGCAATTCAAAGCCCTACGTGCTTTAGCTGGCTACTCCCTTTCCTCATAAGTAGGTTTAATTTCTATTAGTTGAGTCTGAAGACTATCAGTTATAAGCACATTGTTGTTAGATGATCCACTAATGAAAGTTATGACATATGTAGGTTTTACATGATATACGCAGGTCGCGCAATTGTTTTTATACAAAAGTTGCATTTATCGCCATCAATTTGGATAATTGAGTTATTTCTTAAAACAACGACTACCTATATCGACCATCATGGAGATGATTAGTGTTAAAAAATGATATACACAGTCATTGTACCGAATATAAATTAACGAAATGTTTCCTCCGGAGGTTAATGTTGCCAATTGGCTTTGGTTTTAGGTTTATCCATAAGAATTAAGGTAAATTTTATGATCGATCATTGAACTTTAGTAAACTATACAATTGGGTCACAAAATTTTTTATTTCTTGTATTGGTTATATTCACTACCTCTTTTGTTAAGTTATAATCATGACCTTTTTTGTTATAAATAAACTTTGATTTCAATTTTGGATGCACCAAAACTTTCATTAATTTTTTTGCAATTGATGATGCACTTTAATCGGAATCTGATCAATTTCTCAGCTAAATGATGATGGGGTGACTCGTGGCAATGATGCACATCCAAAAAAATTGGCCATGTTTCTGCCACATCAATATATTCCATCAGAGAACGGGTCTGATACATGTTTTTACTTTGTTGAGTTAAAATGTATCAATTGTATAGAAATGAAAAAGGGTCCTATTAACAAGGGTCCCCAGACACCAGTGAAGTATATTTTATTTGGAATTGTTCAATTTTCTAGACACTGATTGCGCATAACACAATGGAAATCAACGTATTAAAAATTTAGAGTTTCCTTAATCGGTTGCTTAAAAAATGACCCTGGAGCACTCATTGATAAAATCCAAATAAAAATTTAATGTGTTGGGATCGTTAAAATCAAAATCCAATCACTTCATCATAAAATTGATTAAAGTTTTTGTAACCAGAACGGAATTTTCTTCAAGAAGTGGTAATCCGAGAGAGGTGTAATGGGAACACAACTATAATTAGAAACTGTGGTATACTCAACTTTGGACCAAAAGACAAAATGACCTTCAAGGGTTTCCAAAATATGAATTGATAAGAGTTTTGGGGAAGATCTCATGGTGATGATACTCATCCCCATAATATATTGTTCTCCCAATCCAACTTTTATAGAAGAACCTCACAAAAAGTTAAAAGTGAGGTTTGGCTCCCCTTCCTCACTCTAGGTAACCCTAAAGAGTACTACACGGCAAAAGCAAATTAACCCAAGAGTAGTGTCCAATAGCATCGAGTCCCCCCACAAGAATAGTGCATTATTTTAGCTGTCATGCGTATGTGAGCTATGGCTTTACTTGTACAGACTACATTATATTTTATCCTATTGTCGTTCGTTTCCCCCTCCAAAAGGGTGTCATGAACCTTTTTACTCCTCCAAGATAATATGAGATATCTGAAGATTTCGACTCGACTGTACATCTCCGTGCATTAGAGATGAAACTTCACCTGCAAGGTGGTGGGTGTGGCATTCAAGGTCGCTACGAGTGGTAGAGGTCGTGATCCAAATACGAGATCTGTCCGACTGCATGCAAATTTAAGTGCATGGATCTTTGAGCGCCCGATCAATTTCCACAAGTGATGGGGCTACTCCAAGTTCCATACACACCGAGTAATTACTGAAAAGGCTAGGTGCGCAGGGGATGATTTTGGAAAGAGTACAAGGGACTACCCAAAGAGTATGCATAGGACAAGTAGTAGAGGAGGGGCACATGCTGCGTGCACTAAATGGCCATTATGTTGCGTGCACCACCCACTCCTCAATTCACGCATAATTACCCTCCCATCTTCCCTTTCGCTTTTTGTCTTTGTTTTTTTTTTTTATTTGCTTCATATACATATAATATTCAAATAGTCATTTCCCAATTTACCCTTTTCCCTTTTTAAACTTAACTTCAAAATGATTCCCTCACTCTCATCTAATTCCAATATTAGAAAAATTTCGATGGACCCGCCCATATAATATTAGAAAAACCTAGGTGGGCACATTATCGTTCGGACTCTTATTTTGAACGCAAACAGCGGAGAAAAAGGATGTACATATTCTTTTTTTTGTGTTAATTACATGCATTCGATGATGAATTTTGCTTTTCAAGATTGCTAGAGTGAAATATCCATTATACTTTATGTTTTCTATCATAAATTCTTGTACTCATCCCTAGACTTTATCTTATCTTTAGCTCTTTGATAAAGTAATGCTAGGAAGAAGAGAAAGAGAGAGAGAGAGAGAGAGAGAGATTTTGGAGAAAACAAATGGAAAGTGTGAGCTTCAAGTCACATGACTCCCTCTCTCGTGGACAAAAATCACCGATTAGTGCTGCAAAATCTCCGAAAAAAAGCAACATTAAATCAATTATACTATGCATAAATTGCAATAAAGAGGGGAGCAAAAAGAAAAGTGTTTCTTGCCAAATAGTGGAAAAATTGAGAGGGAGAGAGGGAGAGCCATATATAAATAAAGCAAGAGCACAAATATTCCCCACTGCCATAGTCCTCAACACTACTATTTCCCAAAACCCTCTCTCTCTCACTCTCTCTCTCATATTACCAAATGGCCATTCCAAAACACTTCTTCTTCTTCACCACAACACTCTTGATTCTTGCCTCTCTCTTTGTCTCCATCAGTGTTGAAGCAAGAGAGGTTAGGGAGCGCGATTCCTTCAGCAAATTCACCAATGCCAACGACAACGTCGACAAAGAGAACACGCGAGTTGTCCCCAGCAAGGAAGAGGCCCCCACCACCGAGGAGGCCTTGAAGAAGCAAGAGGACCAAGAGCAACAGCCGACCTTCATTCCTCAGACCCGCAATGGGTATGGCCTCTACGGTCATGAGAAGACTTTCGAAGACACGCCTGCCACCACCACCGCTACCTCCACTGGTAACCGCCCGTCCAAAACGGCGATGCCGGACGACTCGTTCTACAGCAACTCGAATGGCAATTTCGAGAACACCAACAACTATTACAATGATAAGAGCTACGATAGGAGGAGCGACAGCTACTACAACAAGGATGCTTATGTCGCAGACCGGAGGGAGCAAGCCCGCGACACTTACACGCCAGAGGAGCAAAACTTTGTCGGCAACGCTCGGCTTCAAGATAGCAGCTACACCACCACCACCACCACCACCGGCTCCCGCGCCACAAACGACCACAATACCTACTATACCGGTGGCAATAGGTACGGCTTCAAAGTATCACTAAAGGTCGACACCATTTAGCAAGAATTTGATGATATGCTCGAAGCGAGCGACATAAGAAGCGCACTGAGCATAAAGTTTTATGATACTTTAATTATCTGACGCTTTGAACAAAATATGGTGAGGGTAGCAGAGTGTTGAAGCAATCTGCTTGTGTATGTTGGCTCTTTACATATACGTTTTTTGAAGAATGCTTTTCACATTTAACTTTCAAATTATGTAAAGAAACATGTAAAGGATTCATCTTGCGTTTACCATCAGGTACGGCGCCGTGAATCCGGAAGGGATGAGCGACACGAGGTTTATGGAGAACGGGAAGTACTTCTACGACGTAGACAATGAGGAGAAATACTACCAAAACAGGTACCAGAGGTCGAAGCCCGGGTATTCGACTCAGGGGTATTATGGCAATGGCAACCGCAACCGCAACGACAACGTCAATCTCTACGAGCAACAGTTCAACAACGTCGACGACAACTTCATGGGAGGATACCAGGACCAGCAGGAGTTCCAGGAGAGCCAAGACGATGAGTTTGTGCCCTGAGAGAGACAGAGACTGATGAAGTTGGTGCATTCTAAAATTATGAAATTGAATGGGTTTAATTATTCATGATATGCATGAATTATGGTGTTTTGTGGTGGAAAGGGAGACGCAAAATGTTAAAGTATACACTTTACCTTTACTTTAATTTGTGACCTTATTTTGCAGTATTCCCTGGGACTGTGTGTTTGAAAAGATGACAAAGTTGGGGGTGTGGAAATGTATTTGGACCAAAGTTGAGGATCTAATAATAATAAAAAGTGTATATGGAAGAGGGTTTGTGCTTGCTTTCTTTTTGGGTAGGCCCCGACAAAATCGCAAATGGAGGATTTCGCCTGCAATTGGGTCCCTAGTTGAACCGATTCTGAACCGGTTAAATTATGATTTGCTTCAAACAAGCTCAACACGCCCCTATTTTTATTTTTAAGATTGAAAATCATAACCGAGTCCGACGAGATCTGTTTTGAAGTTCAACCTTAGAATCGACCCATCATGTAATTAATCATCAATGACGAGAACTAACAGAAAGATATTCACAGCAATAATATTACCGAAATATCGATCCTACATTATTATTAAGGAATTGAAATCCATTCAACTTAGAAGGTAACATGATGCATCGACACTTACCTAGCTCCCTAGCCAAATATCCATTGCCTACCAATACACTCAAATTAGTTCATCATGCATTTTTTGGCAAGCACTCATCCATTGTCTAATGCAAAATCTAGTATCTCATTACATAAACATGGAAAAGTGTGCAAGTTGTTCAATCTCAGCTACTGGTGTTCCAATGAACAGTCTTTGTAAAAACTGCAGATGCTTTTGTACGAGCCATGATTAAGGAAGATGGGATAGAACTATTGGAGATGATAATGCTCCCCATGAACTACCGAAAGAGCACCCACTAAAGCCTGCAAATCACGTTGTCAGCATCGGACATTTGAAGTTGGAAAACCTGGTAATTTCTGTATAAAATGTTGCAAATGCACATATGTCAAAAAAAAAATCAATAAATTGCTAAGATCCTATGTATTTCTGATCTAACAACTTACCAAACTTCCATAGTAGTTCCTTCAAGAATCGTACATAATCCTCTTTAATAAAGGGTTCAACCCAAAATCCGGAATCTATCGGAACAAAAGCAACGGTTCAAGGCTACGCTAGATTTGAGGGATTCCTTACATAAAAAATTTTCTTTCGTGTTGCGGCCATTATATTTACATGATGTCTTGCGAGAAAAATGTATTTTCTTTTTTTCAAACCTTTTTTTCTTTCCAATTTGTTTTATTTAGATTTCTGTTTTGAAACGGCCTATTATTCAAATTGTCCTGCATATATGAATATATTTCTCTAAATGGCTATTTATATATCGAAATATTTTCTATAAGCACCCATGCATATATTAGTTCGTTGCTTGTTTTCAAATCAAAGCTGTAGTGATTGGCCAATTAGGATGCGTTTGGCAACCATTCTATCCTCGAAAACAATTTTTGTTCAAAAATGATTATTTTTTATTCCATACCTGGGAACAATTTCTAAACATTTGAAGGTGTTTGGTAACTGCCAAAATTTCTATTCTTGGAATAGAAAAAGAATAGAAATGAGTTTAGTAACTGTACAAAATTTCTTTTTATTAATAATATTTTAATAATATTTTGAATTTTTAATATTTCTTTCTTTTTTTCTTCTTCTTCCCCTTCTTTGGCCATGGCCAAGTCGTCGATGTTGGCGATCGGCCACAGGCTAGAGCTGGCGAGGGCGTCGCGGCCTTCGTCGGCCACAGGTGATGGTCACCCTCGCCGGCTCCAGCGAGGGCCGCCCTGGCCAGATTCGGCGAGGGTCCAAGCCGCAATGCCGGCGCTGACCCTGGCCTGTGGCCAGTTGCCGGTGGCCAACGGCCAGCGATCGACCATAGGCCAGGAAGAAGAAGAAGAAGAAAAAATTTATTTTCCATTTCTGATTCTTGTCCTCAGAATCAAGAAATAACTTTTTTTTTGCTTATTGATTCTGTTCCAAAATTGATTCTGGAAACAAATTTTTGCAAATTTGTGCCCGGGAACAAAAAATTTACCAAACGGATTTTTGTTCCAAAACTTATTATGGAAACAAAAGAATAGAAATAGTTACTGTTTGGTCGGTTGTCAAACACACCCTTAGATAGCAGGATGAAATAAGGTTTCAAGATCCATTTGATTTTATTTTTTATTTTTTTTGCTTTTGGGTTGACTTGGACCCTCCAAAGCGGTCCACTCGAAGCCTGCCTCATTCCAATCCAATATGTTCAGAAACAAGACATGAGCATCCTCGTGAAGCATTTAAGGAGAACAATGTGAATCGAAGGGACATTTGTAATGTCCCATCTGTCAACCAGTTTCTAGGGGACCAACCCGGAAATTTCCCGCGTTCTGTCACGAGACGTAACGATTCTAATCTAAATATAATAACAAGTTATCCTAAGATCACCTTAATTTCAATATAGTTATCGAATTCCCCAAATGTCCTAATAACCGCTTTACTAATAATAACGAATCAATCTAATTTCTCCACGCCCCACATTGGACCAAAAACTGAAATGATGTTTTAGGTCTCACACGTTGCTTAACTACCAAGTCTTTGAATGCATTATAAGACAGTCGGCATCATTACTATGGTAATGAAGTGAACAAAACACGCCTCAGTTTCACAAATTTCTACAACTTGAATTGCCACATTTCACCCTGAGACCTACAAGCTCTTAATGAAGCTCGTTGTTTAGCATTTACCAGGGCATGCCCACCTCAACAGGACAAAAGAGTTGGTCTTTGTCAACTACAGCTAATACCCATTCTTCCATATCCACTCCCAACATGCCATGCCATGCCAAATTGCCAATACACCATATAATATAAGTGCTGCACAACTCTCCTCTTTGACATTACTGCCCCACTACTGCCTCTTCACCGGTAATGTCCACATCAATTTAGCACCCAAGGCCATCTCTCACAACCCCATCACCATATCTCTCTGCCATATCTCTCCCCCTACTAGAACTATGGAAGTTTCCCGCAACACTTGTCCGCGGATTGGACTTGCTAACAAGATCTGTCAAATTTTATCGTGCGCGGCCCCCTTCATCAAATTTCTCAAGTGGTTACGAATTTATATTTTCTCTAAAAACTTAAACTTTTAGATTAGACTTTCTAACAAGAACTGTCTTTCAGTGCTCTCAAACTCTCACATAACATTACTCTTAGCTTATGATGATAGCCAAACTAACTTTCCTTCTATCTGTGCTTCACTATGGTAACTTTTCACCTCCCTTGGATTTCAGGCACTTATTTATGATCCTTTCTATTCCAAGTAAAGTGATCTATGACCTGCCCAACCTAATTGACATAGAGAGTTAGACTTTGATAGATCCAAGTTTAACGTCCTTGCTTTTCCAATGGGGTCAGTCTAATCAATTCGCTAGTCACCATTATTCAAACCCTAGTTGGTACCATAGTAGCAACAATTACAAATACGGCCATCGGACGCAAGATTCCAAGGTCCTCACCTCAACAACTCCCTCCTACCTCGGTCACCTAAGCCGTGGCAAATGGGTAGATGTCTCCAATATCTACTTTGGTAGATCTAGCTTGTCTGTGTCAATTGCGTCCTTCAAGGGTCGGTGCACTATTTAAGAGGATGATCGAGAAGAAAGAACCTAATTATCATCTGGGTTTCGAGGTCGTAAAGTAATAAGGTCTCTTGTATCTTTTATCACGTTGGTGGAAGCCAAATGGGTGAAGAGAAAAGGTCCTGACCATATAACGAAATTAAATTAAAAATCGCCGTTGAAAGACTTTAAATGGAAATAAAAAGAAAAGAAAGCATCCTGCCCACCGCATATTGATCTCCTTGATTGACGGGGACGACTTGTTTGGAGTCGAATGTGGCTTGTCAATCTAGGCTTTTTTTAGGGTCTGCGAGTCTTTTTGACTCTGGAAGGGGAGGCTTTTTCTAGGGTTTTGTCTAGTGTCTTGGTCAAGCATGGGTCTAAAATCTTGCAAACGAGGAGCTGTATGTGGTTCTCTCTTGTTGATTGTTCCCCGTCGAGTCGACTTTTGTTGCAATAGATCGCACGTCATTCATTTCGAGACTAGAGGATTGACGACAACTATTTACCCCAAGAACTTGATCTCAAGAGATTCGATTGAATAGGAATCGAACTCGACGCTTCGTGCTCCCTACCACGAGGGCTATTTTGCACATGGGACAATCACCGCAAACGATTGTAGAGATGCTTAATTAAGTCCTTTTGCCCTTCCTTTGGCAGAGGTAACCAATCAATGTCACCAACCAAAACTAAGGTAAAATCAAACATGAGAAGTGCTATGATAGCAAACAGCTGTAAAATTTCGATTGCAGCTTTAATTTTGCCAGTGCCTTGAGGGGCTCATGGAACCCAACTTCACAAAAGGCACTATTTTAAGGGAAATTCTGATTGAATCAGCAATCATGATGTTGGGAAGAGAAGGGCCAAAATGAATTATAAAAGAGAAAAGGTAATCCTCTGGAAGACATAATCACCCTCACCCACCCACCACGTTTTCTGATAACATCAATGTGGCCAAATTCATATTGCAGAGGCAATGCATATTGATCAACCATAATGAATTGGTTGGACCCTCCTCAGTGGTCTATTCAACTGGTCCTCAGCATTCGGATTGCCCAAAATCCAGGATTCAATTCCTGTTCTTCTGTTGTGGATGATTGTGGGTGTATGTGCATGTGCCCAATTCATCCTAATCACTGGAACCGAAAATCGAACCAAAGCGGCCTTACTTGACAGGTTTTAGGCCGGTTCAAATGGGATTGGCTAGATTCCTAGGTTAAAATTGGGGAACCGGCCTTGACCGCTCCAGTTCAGATTTAATACCGTGAATTGGTTTTGAAACGATTTTTACAGCCGGTTCTTGGGTTGAACTTGGTTTTGAACCGGTTTTTAGCTAATTTTTTTTACTTTGTTTGGAAAAAAAAGGATAAATATGTTGGAGATGGGTCTCAAATCTAGGAACCTTGACCACTTTACCACAAATTGTTCACATGATATGCTTTTCTTAAATACTTATATCACTTATACTTAGGCTCAGTTAGATTTCAAGCCAGTTCCCAATGAAATCGGTTTGGTTCCCGGATCCGAAATTAGAGAACCAACTCTAACATGGTAGCTTTTAGGTTCTTGATCTGTAACCTGTAAATTTTAAAACCAATCGCCCTACTTTAAACCTCCAAATCGGGTTCCTCT